AGCTGTTGTTGCTGCACGTTTATCACGTTTGGCAAATCAACGTATGGATTCCAATCGTTTTTTAATTTGTTCAGGAACAAATTCATATAATACAATACGTAAAACAAAACATGAAGTACGACGTTTTGCATTATATTTAGAAGATACATTTAATGAAAAATGTCCTATTGATGAATTAAAACCTGAACAATTGTGTACATATTTAAAACATTATTTTGGTAATGTTCGTAAAGCTGATAATACTGAATATGAACCTGATACATTAAGAAGTTTTATGTTATCAATTGAACGTTATTTAAAATCTCGTAAATATTCATATAATATTCTTGAATCGCCTGTTTTTGCTCCATGTCGTGAAGTTATACAAGAAAAACGTGATACATGGGCTAAACCAACAAAAAATATAAGTAATTCTAAAGTTGAAGCATTTACATCTGAACATGAATTATTACTTCGTCAAATGAATATAATAACACGTGAAACACCAGATGGTTTATTACTTGAATTATTAATAAATAATTCAAAATATTTTGATCAACGTGGTAATGAATCAACAATAAATCGTTCATTATTATGGGGTGATTTACAAATTAAAATTGATCCAACAACATCAAATGAATATATTGAATATAAACGTTCAACAACTAATTTACGTGCATATGCTAATCCATTACAACAAAATCAATGTCCTGTTGCTAGTTTACGTCTTTTAATTTATCATCGACCAACACAATGTTCAAATGCCGATGCACCATTTTATCTTGTACCACGTACATCAACAGATCAACGTGTTTGGTATAAAACAATACGTGCTGGACGTCATAGATTAGATTTATTAATACAACAAGCTATGCAAAAAGCTGATATTAATGGAAAATTTTCTTGTATGAGTTTAAGAAAAGGTAAAATAAAAGGTTTACTTATGCCATCAATAAATTCTGAATTACTTGATCTATCATCAAATAACACAAAAAAATTTAAACGAGAACAAATATTATCAACATCATCATCGTCAGTTATAATTAAACCAATTGATACAATACTTCCACTTCAACAACAATCAGAAAATCATCATGATGATTTACCTTCACCAATATCAATATCAATAAATAATAAACGTAAATTAACATCAAATGATACATTTCATGCACTATATGCAGCAGCACATTTAAAATCATCACGACAATCGAAAATAAATCTTTTAAGAAAATATCTTGAAGAAACACTTGGTCTTGTTGAATTTCTTACTTTATATGAATATTTAAGTAGAAATTCATATATTAAATTACAAGGTACCCCTATTGAACATTATGAACATATTTTACCTGTTTTACTTACATTACTTATGCTAGAAAATACAGCATAAAAAGAGAAAAATTTATCGAGTTTTATTCCATAAAGTCAATTTTTTTCGTAAGTGAAATGATTATACATGTAGAAATATTCTTCTAGTCGTTCTTATACACTTTTTTTCTTTGTTGTCATTCCAGTCGTTTCTTTTCTTTTTGTGTATGTGTCGATGAATGTTTATAATTTGTTTTTTCTTTCCAGAAGGAATATGTATCAGAAATGATGAATGAAATTTAATAATAACATATATATATATACCGTTGCAAAAATTATTAATAAGCATTATCAGTATTACGGCTATCTATGTTGACAATGTCAATTGGTATTGAACTACGGGAAAAAGAAAAAGAAATATTAAGGGGATTCTCTCCCTTGTCGGGATTACTCAGAAACAGTTCGTCAAAAAATGATGAAACTTGCAAGACAGATAGATCTTGAAAACTAAAGCAAAAGTTGTCATAGGCTCAAAACTTCCAGATGCTTTCTCAAGGGTCATATGGGGATCACAAAAGCCAAAAATGGTCAAAAGTCTTCCCTGCAAAACTTTAAACTTCATTTTTTTGTGCTGCAGCTTTTTTTATAGCAACTTGAATCAAACTGGGGTGCGTCCTTTTTTCATCTTCTAAAAATGCTGTTATTAGAGTTTACAATACTGGAAATATCGTAAAAAGCATGTTCAACTTGCCCAAGGTACCTAGAACAAAAAAAAATGTTAGCTAGATCAAAACTTCGTGTTTTTTCGTTTGAAAATTACTTTTGAGAAAAATACAAAGCAAATTCTCCTGTATGTATCAGAACTTTTTCTCTTCAACTAAAGTAATCGAAAACTTAGAGCATAAAAAAAGTAGTGATATAGATGTTTTAATTCTTTACAAAAAAAGTTTAACGAAACTTTCTCTCTATAGCATCTGATAGTAAAAATGATGTTCTACATTGCTCTGATTGATATTTGATCATTCTTCACAAAATATCATAATCATAATGAAATTTCGATAAGAGATGTTTGTTACGATATTTAATGGTAATATTAGATCACATTTTGTCTTTGATGTGTATCGTTTTTGTTCTTCTTTTCTCTTCTTTTTTTTCTCGTCTCTACTACTGCTTAGTTGTCTATATTTATATTAGGGTATACAAAAAATGGTATCGGTAGAACAAAAAAAGAAACACCGAGATACGTTCATCAAGTTTTTACTCAAGTAATTCTCTTGATCTGACATCATGTAATTTTTGGTTATTCAACTTAATCCAACAAAATCTAAGCGATCGCAACGATTCTAAATTGTTGCATCATGTAATAAACAACTTCATGAATTCTTTGTATATAGAAGAGTATTAAAAAACGTTCGATAAATAGATTCAACGAGTGCAATTGAGTGTGAATAACTAGGACGATTAGTTCGAATATTTAATAGAATAAAGACTTGATGAACTTGTTTCTGTATGCTTTTTTTTGTTCTACCAACGTCACTTTTTGATTGTCCTAATCTGTATAGACGGGTAGACATTAGAAGAAAAGAACAAAGAGAAGGATACACATCGAAAACAAAATGTGATCTAATATTACCGTTACATATCATAACAAACAGGTCTTATCGAAATTTCATTGCTATTATGATATTAATTGAAGAATGATTAAATATCGAAGAAATGTAGAGTATTGTTTTTTGCTATCAGATCATATACAGAGAAAGTTTCTTTAATTTTTTTTTTGTAAAAAATTATAGTTTTTCTGTCACTACTTTTCGTATGCTCTGAATAGTCTCATTCTTTATTTAAACTCGTTATTCAAATTGGTATTGTCGATTTAAAACTTTTTTGATACGATTCTTAGAGTGAATATTATGATGTAAATAAAAACGAGTATACGAAATGATTTTCATTTTTTCTTTTGAATACAATGCTTCTTTAGATTGTCTTAATTTACTATATATTTTTAAAATAAGAGCATATAGTAGTATTATAGTCATTTTGAGAGAATGGAATATGTGACTGTAAAATGTTTGACGTCGGATTTTAAAAAATGTATAGAATGCAAAAAGTTCTGTCATGAAAACAATCTCACTGATTCTTGTGAAACTAATTCATTTTTTAAAATCAGAAAAAAATTACAAATATTGAACTAGTCTTATTGTAAAATTTGATTATCTGATGATCTCTTTTTTTTAAATAGTTAAGCTAAGCAAACTATAATAAATTCTATCAAGCTATCTATAGTCATTTTCTAGCATTTTGAAAGAACTTTTATCCTGTTTCTAAGCAATCTATCCAACAACACTTTATACACAAAAAAATTAAAATAATGATGTCTATAAATTCATACTTTCTTCTGTCGAATTACATAATTTATTCGATAATCATATCAGTCACTTATATCAATATTTGACATTTCATTATTCGTTTAAAACAGTGAAGGTGATCTTTTAACAAAATATTGTATTCATATGTACAATGACGCATAAAGGTAAAGAACAGTAAAACTACAACACTCAGATAACATCAATTCGACAATAAGGTACTCTTGTAATAATAATAAAAAAAAATTAATTTATTGTTGAATCAATTTGTGTAAATGTCAAAAGCAAAAACACAGTACTAACACGAAATAATATTTCAATGGTCACATTAAAATATCAAGACACAACATTTCTGTCGTACATATAAAAGTGCAAAAAATGAATATAAATCGAATAAAATGACAGAAAAAATTTGTCTTACAGCAATTGCTAAACCAAGAATACTTCTTGCGAATAGACATGAACTAAATCGATTAGTTCCGATTCAAGTCCAGTTGCGAGCAGTTATACACGTGCAGAACATTAAACGGAACTGATAGATGATTATTAATAGTATATATTTCGTCTGTTTATCGCTTATATAGATGCTCATCCAACAAAAATCCGTCCAAAAACAGATAAAAAGAAACAAAAAATCATTATTATTTTTTTAATAAAGATTTTGTGTTAGATGAAAACAAAAAAAAAGAATAGTTAGTTTTTATTTCTATTATTGTTTAATAATCTTTTGTATGCATGACAATGATTTTGAATTGTATGAAATTGAGACAAAAATCTTCATAATTAGGAAGTAACAAAATAAAACCAGGCAAAGTCAATACGATCGTCTCACTAAATCTCGGTGTTGATAAAATTTGCATAGTTAAGATTCAATATCATACAAATTAACGAATCTCTATGACTAGTTATATAGAAACAATCCGTCAAGGTCACTCATCTATGACTATTTCAAGACATCTGTGTAATAATCTTTATGCGTAGAATTATTTTATCTTGGTTATTTTTTCATGGATAAAACTGTTGGAAAAATCTATAATTCAACGATGTGAGCTCGTAAACAAAGACTACATTAGAGCCACTTTCATATGCGTGCAATCAGTTGGGAATGGATATATATGCAAAGATTATAATAAACGAAAGAAAAGAATAAATATTTTCTTAGAGTTGAGAAATAATAATGAATGAAAATGATTTTGAAAATTTTTAAATTAAATGTCTGAACTTATGATATAAACCTTGAAACAACGATAAGCTTTTATTTCGGTTTACAATTAACATTATAGATCGTATGGTTAACATTTATATTTTTTTTGCGACAGCAAAAAGCAATACAAAAAAAACAACACTATAAATTTATCTTTTTTTCTTTTTTTTCTTCTTTCTTGCACCATGATCATCATCACAATCATCATTTGATGAATCTTCTTGTTGTCGTTTACGTGGACGATTTTTAGCATTATGAGTTTCATAAAAATTGCTGCCTGTTTTCTTGCTTTTCTTTTTATCTTTTTTTGATTTTGGTTTGATTATTTCTTTTTCTTGTTCTTCGTTATTTTCCTTTTCATCAACAGGTTCTTTTTGAGATTTTCTAAAATATTCAATATTAATAAATAGATTTTCCATTTTTGAGAACAATATCAGAAGATTTTAATATAATCGATACACGTTAATTCATCCGAAACTCAAATAGGAATTATTTTTTTATAAAAAAACTAGATAAATAATAAATGAACTTCATAATACTGTACTTTTAGACTTAAGATTCATTCTCTTCTCTTACGAAGAATATTACCAATCGATAGGCCTTCAAAATCTCCATTTAATGAGACTTTACACTAAGTCATTGTCTTGAAAAACCGTTGATAAAAAAAATCAAATATAATTTTGATAGGTCCACTCCAACTCAGATCTAATAGATCGTGACAAGTACTTTAAAGTTACGAGGAAAAAATATTGAATTTCAGTCGCACAATAGTATTACAGTTAACTGAAAAATGACAATGTTTTCTATTCAACTACTGAAAATCTCATACCTAAATTCAAACCAAACTTGACGAATTATTTTCTCATTTAGCACAAACAAAAAAGAATGACTTTTTGTTAAACAGTATTGAAGATGAATCTGGCTGATGAAGTTCGTACAATAGAAAATTTTGGGACTGTATCGATTACAAATTCTTTATACTCAAATCCAAAAGTCAGGAGGAAAATATCTAGATCTTAGACTATTGTATATTTAAAAAATTACATTTCATCATTATCTTGTCTGTTTGGATCTTCTGGTGGTGGTACATAATGAGGTAGTTTGCCACGTTGATAATCGTTTAAAACCATTTTTGCAACTGTTTGTAAATCTGGTTCGGCACCTTTTAATAATTTTCCTGTTTTTCTTGCTAATTTTTCTAGAAAATCTTCAGCTGTTGTAAAATCATCGATTGAATATGTTTTAAGTATATATTCATGTTTAACACGTTTTAATAATTCTTCAATATATTGTTCTGGTTGTGGAACATTTTCAACACGAACAACACCTTTAAGAACAATGTCTGTTTCAGAATCTTCTGCTGGATAAACAATTCCAGGACAATCAATAAGAAACATACGTTTCATTAATGTTATATATTGCCAAACTTTAGTTTCACCAGCAATAGGAGCAACCTTACAAACCTAACAAAACAACAGGATAAATAAAACTTTATTTTCTTCTATCTTTTACTTTTTCTGATCGTAATGTGTTTATCACAGATGATTTACCAACATTTGGATATCTAAAATAGTTAATAAAAAATAAAATTAAACATAAAAACAATACATTAATGGACTGAACTTTCTTCTCCAGCAGATCTTACCTCGTATACATGCAATAGGTCGCCCTCATAGCTTAAATGCAATGCGAATTATTATGGACAAAACCTATTTTTGTTTCAAGCTATTTAATCTTGAAAAAAACTGTCTATTAAATTGTGTTGTACCTATTATCAAATACATGACTAGTTCTTGATAATTTTATTTGCAACTGAAGTCCAGTATGTGGTCTTTCATCACTCAAAAGATCATGTAATGCACTGAAAAATTACAGTGTCTGAATTCTCGACACGAACACAATAATTATTGGCATGTTATTTCCCTTTAGAAGGAAATTCTTTTCTGATACTTTCAAACAATAATGTACAACTAAAGGAAATGTTTCTCAAAAAGTTTAAACTCGATTCGTTTAAGTATTACTAAGTTACAGTCTACAAAATGTAGCAGGGAGTTTTCTATCACTCATATAGTTACAATAAAATGGCCACAATTCTAGTAAAAGTTTATGGGCTTCGATGAAATGAATAGCGTGGATAGCTACCAGAGATGAGCACAGGACAAGGCGGTCCTGTTGTCCTGGTGCCCTGTCCTGTAGGACAGGACGAAATTTTTATTTTTGTCCTGTCCTGCCGTCCGCGAGGACAGAAAAGTTAGCAGGGCAGAACAGGACAGGTAAAAAATCCTTGTCCTGTGTTCATCTGTAATATATTTTTTTTCTTGAAAACTATATAAAATGCATTAGTTAGAAAATATTAATTGGTGATATTTGTTTTGTACAATGAAAGTAAAAGTAAAACTCACTCTTGGCATTTTACAACTTGTGAAAATGGATTTAAACAGCAAAAATCGTGACGTCTTGTCCTGTGCTCATCTCTGATAGCTACAGCATAGCTGTAAATAATGAGGGACTGGCTGACCCATAAAACCTTTTCTTTGCAGGAGTATAATGTTTAAAGGAAAACTAAGTACTATTCAATACCATACGTCATAATTCTCATTGTGTTTAAACAATCGGGACAGGCTGGTGGCTCTGATCAAAATTCTTGATCGATAATGTACACAAAAATGTTGTTCACTACAGTATAAATATATATTTACCCAATAAAACCAATGGAAATTTGTTTTTTATCTTGATGTAAACGAGAAAATTGTCTTAATAATTGTATTAATGCTTGTTTACCAAATGATTTTCTCATACTAGCATGAAATGCAAGTGTTGGATGTGAACGAGAAAGTATAGCTACCCATCGTTGTGTAACCCATACAGGAACCAAATCACATTTATTTAAAATAAAAATTAAATGTTTATGAGATTTTTCTTTTTTTAAATATGCTTCAACTTGACGACATCGTGTACCTTCAGGATTACGTGCATCAAGAACTTGAAGAATAACATCAGATGAATCAATAACCTACAAATATTTCAATATTCTATTTGAAAATTTTTTGTTGAATATTTTATTACTTTATAAAGTTCATTCCATATACGTTTACTTTGTCCAGCTCTAAATAATGGATTCATAGTTTCTTGTTTAACTCCATCATGTTCACGAACTAAATCAAGATCCTTATCTTGATCATAGTCATTTTGTTTTTGTTCAACATGTGCCACTAATGCTTCTATATCATCGCCACCAGGAATATGTGATGGTCGTTTTCGTTGTGATTTAGGTCCAAATGTTGATTCAAATGATTCAACATCAAGTATATGAACACGTTTTTGTTTAGCTTTTTCATTTAATAATGTAACCGGTAATTGAGTTTGTTTCATCACAACTTGATATGGATCAGCAAGTGTTGTTGATAAAGCTGCTTGAAATTTTTGTAATGAATTTTGTGTAACAACACGACTATTATTAAACCATTGACGATTAGGTGCAACACGAGCTTGTGTACCTGATGGAAGTCGTTCTTGAAAAATTGCTGCTTGAGTAATTCTGCCTGATGGATCACGTTTTGGTTTACCACCACGATACATTTGTAATCGTTTAATGGTTGATTGTGAACGAACTTTAGCACCATTGATAGATGATGAAGTAGCTTTCGATGAAGAACGATTCTTTAATGAAAGAGAATGTGATGTTGATGGTGCTTTGCTCGATGATGAAGATGCTGATGGATTTTTTCGTTTTTTATTTTTTGACATGATGAAAATTATCTATAATAGAAAATAGAATATGAGAAAGACAGAAGACAGTTTTTTTTGTAAGCGATACTAATTAATAAAGTAGAATAAATTAATTTGAAAGAGAATCTTTCATAATTCAAAAATGTGGACATTATAGTAATAGTACACAGACTGAGGCCAATGAGTCATCGAAACAATGTTAAAAAATACACTAAAGAGGGCGCTGAATACGGAAGATCCTTTTCAGAAATTCCAACGTTTATGACTTGCACTCTTAAATAGATATTAAGATTTTAGTTTGCTTGAGTTTTTTTTGTTCAAATCAATTTTTTCAGATAACTGTGAGTGGATAGTACTAAGCATACGATAGTGGCTATTCGAACCAATAAAATATGACAAAAGTATATACTACTATTAGAATGAATAGCTAATGAGACGAAACACTTTTTCTCAAGCAAATTTAGATACCGCTCAAAAGCAAATAGCTGTTTATGTTATTAAATATCAATAAAAAAAATTTTCCATGCTGAAATTGAACATCAGCGACATCTAAGTGCATTTTATATTAATTTTATCTTCTACGCAAACTTTTCTTGATTTGACTGTACGAGATACATGCATAAGGTATCACTAATTTATTCTAGGAAGATCATGTTCCAAATCTACGTTGTCGATTATTCCAAAACCAATTCAGAACATTTATTTCGCTTTGGTGGTCCAACGATAATCAAGAATATAATACTTCGGAAATATATCAATGTTTTTCGCATGACATAGACTCGTTATAATGGGTGAATTATTAGTTTTTAAGCAAATGTATAGATGTTCTTTCTATTCTTTTCTTTCTTTAAGAAGCGACATGAATTAATGAATACGGAATGCTTTATCCAATGTAGAACAGTATCATTAAATCTATATTATGTAAGTTTCAATCGAAGTCAGATCAAGCCCTTTCTAGCAAGTGTAGCAAGATGATAATATGTACTATTTCATCATTAGAGTGAATTGAAGTATACGAAAATAAAGTACTTGACGCAAGAAGCGATGTTTTCATGTAGAAAACTCTACATTTCATAGAGACAGATTCCTTATAATATTTGACTTCTTCATGTATATCAGGAAGACGAAATCAAGAGCAGAAGTGGAACCATTTTGCTTTCCAACCGAACAGAATCAAATCTGTACAGATCTTATAATACTGCTCCAAATTGAACAAAACATCTTTCTCTTTCATTATTTCACGTTGTTTTCTAAAGAAAGAAAAGAATAAAAAGATTTCGCTTGTGTTTACTTAAACACTAATAAATCCGTCCATTATAATCAAATATAAAAACCAATTAATAACAGCCATTGAGAGGTGCACAACTGATTATAACCGAGTTGGCAGTTTCAGAATTCTGAACTTCAGAGCTTTGGTTGAGAATCAGTTCTCCTATGTTCATCACTTCTCTAATGATCATATAGTAAGACTTGCGATAGTAGGATTACCTATTTTATGTCTCATCTAGTGTCGTGCGAAAGCAATATTAAAATTCGGCATTCTAGAAAAACGTTTCGTCTTGTTTTATGCATATGTTCTGCGAACTTCTCTTTTTCAAAAACAATTTTTGTAGTCAATACGATTTTACATGGTTGAAAAATAGATTTTGGCATTCTTTCGAAGCCTTCTGCATCCTTTATTAATTAAAAAAAATATCTATCAATAAAAATTAGACAAGTTCATTCATTATTCATTAGAATGTGACTCAATTATAACAACTATTATTTAGTGTATGATCATCACCTTTGAAAAGCGTATTTCTCAGGTTATCTTGCAATATTACATTATTATTACCTTTTTCTGTTGAATGCTTTCGTTTATTCATCGGCACTATTGATATGTTACCCTTTAATGATAGCTTTTTTCAAACACGAAAAAGTAAATAGTAATAGGAACTCTGAAATCATAACGGAAATAGAAACTAAAAAGTTGTTCCTGCAGAATACTACTACCAGCTTCTCTTGAAGCAAAAGCCGTAGATACGAGCATATTAGAAAAATCCTGAACCCATGAAGACTTATCAAATCAGAAAGTGAAAATCAGGGTTTCAACAATGAGTAGTCAAAATGATTGTCGCAGTAACAATTTGAAATTTCATCTTCATTGTTTCTATTCCTGATGTTCGCCTATTCTAGTACAAATAGAAATATCCGTTGTATATGAAATTATCAATACAAGTTTTACAAGTGTCTATCGTGACATTTAGTCAATATAAAAAGACTAACAAATGTAATCTACGTAGTTAAAAAATTACTCTTTCTTTACTGAATAGAATTAACTTAACAAGTAAAGGAAAAAGAAAATAGTCATATAAGGTACGAACAATTCGAAATTTCGGCAACATTGTGTTTATATTTCTTTTCATCGTTAGATAGAGCTCATCAAGTTATTTCTAAAAATGTTATGTTTGATAAGCATTCTAACAGAATTGTATAATTCAATTTTATAGTTTGAGAATGGAACCATTGTAAATTTAATAGAGAGAATATAATCAAGTGTTCAATGACACTAACTCATATAAAAAACATGGATCAACAGTTCTTGTTCCAATGAAAGACAGTAGATGATCAAAACCAGTTCAGTTACTTGATCAGGAACTCTTATACGTCAAGTTAGCTTTTAAAACATTAGATGTTCAAATCGTTGTACATTATATCGAAACAAAACAAAGTTTACTTTTGTACATGTTTATATTAAATTTGGAATTAATAGATCATAATTTACAAATTGTCTTCCTTCATGATGTTTTTCTCCACTTTCTAACCATAATCGAACTTTCAATGTTTGTGTCATTCGTNCTTTTGAAAACTGTTTTGTTGTGTATGTCCCGAGCAATACGTACTCTCTTGACATATACAAAACTTGCGACCTCGACAATTCACACATTATAAGTTAATAGTTACAGGGTGATTCAAAAGTCTTAGTACTTTATAGAAAAATTTCTTTTTCTCCGTCATAGCAAATCCAAAAACGATCAAAGTTGAAGGCGTTTAATTAAATACACTATAGACATCTAATTCATCTGATATATATTAAAGAGAAATTAGAAGAAAATGAATTTGAAAATGTAACAATGTTGAAAAGAAGAATTGTAACGATCTGGAACACCATCACTCCACAAATGTGCACAAATTGGATGAATTCAATACCAAGAAGATTACAATGTTTGATAAAAAAAAGGTTATTTAATTAAAAAAGAAGACTATAACAACATATGAAAATATAAATTTTTGTATTATTTGCTATTTGCTATTGTATTTATGATAAAAATTATTTATTCTAGATGTTTTTATAATAAAAACTTTATTGCGGCCTGGATAAAAAGCTTCTCTATAGTTCGAGCTTATATATCTTCCTTATAATAAGAGCTAGAGTTATAAAAATTTGGGATAATATTCATCTAGTTGTCAGAGATTATATGCCCAACTTTGAGCATTTTTGAATTTGCTATGACGGAGAAAAAGAAATTTTTCTATAAAGTGCCAAGACTTTTGAATCACCCTGTAACTATTAACTTATAATGTGTGAGTTGTCGAGGTCGCAAGTTTTGTATATGTCAAGAGAGTACGTATTGCTCGGGACATACACAACAAAACCGTTTTCAAAAGAAATTTGATCTCGAACTGCAATGGCACCTTCATCATTCAAACATACGTAAGCCATTATATTTGACTGAGAAATGTTCGAATATCAAACTGATCAGAAATATACGAATATCGTATTTACACTTTGAATTCCATGAATTTATTGACTATTTCCACCAGTTACATGTTGTTAATTTTCATAATTTAGCATCATATTCAATTACAGTCATGGGCGGCGCACCAGCAAACAATGAGTTAGCAATTGCTTCCTGTACAAAGGATTAGGGAAAGCAGCAAAATTTTTTGCATCCCTCAAATTACTCATGTTTCATCAATATGTTATTCCTCCATGTTGTTTTAATCTTTGATTATCAAGTAACTTAAAGTTGTACTTCTTTCTGCTTTCGTCTATAAATACTGTATAAGAACACACTATTAATGAAATGAACTAGCTGATAACATACATAGTTAAGCAGTGCTAATGATCAGACTACAATATTTTCAATTGATTCTTACGTTTATCATTTCACCAAAAAGGAGTAGCTGTTGAAAAGACAGACCATATTTCACACGAGTATCGACTCGGAAATCAAATAACTGTTAAGAGGAAAGTAATAAGAAAAAATTGAGTTTTGTTCACTCGTTCTGAACACATCTGTCTTCAACAAAAATGTTACACTACCTTCATTCTCCTAAGGCCTCTTCCTTTAAAAATCGATTCAAGGCCCGAGCACATTTCAATCATCTGAAAATTCCGGAGCACATTGAGACTGAACTGAAGAAGCTATGGTAAAATTGTCAGCCCTATACTATGATGCTAAATAATGTCCCATATGGGACGTCCATTTAAAAGTCATGTTGTTTCTGGAGGAGCAGGACGCGAACTATCCCTCCATGTATGCATCCTAGTTTTTAGTTTTTTGACGAAAAATGACTTTTTCGGAGTTGGGGGTGGGGGGCGAAGTCTTAACATAATGTCAAACAAACTAATACGTAGGCTACCTATCCTATGTTTTTGCAAAATTATTTTCAAAAACAGTTACTACCGAGCTTTGAACTATGATTCAGAAAAGAATATAGTCTCATTCTAAAGCTTATTGCTTCCCCTAAAAAATTGAGCTTGCGCCGCTCATGATTACAATCGATTGTCTCTTCTACAGATCTAGATGAGGAAAGAAGTAACTGAAAAATGGTTCTCATCGTATTGATTTTCGATTGTAATTGTTAACAACAGTGGACTAAATGCACCGTTCAAGAAACAACTGCAGTTAACTAATGCATATAGATGAATAAACTATTTCGTAGTCAACGCTTCTGACAAGTCAATGATTGGTTCTGATCATCATTTACAATGGAATAGTATCAGATGAAAAACTCATTTCACTAGATTCCAC